AAAAACTGCTTTGTGCAGAGAAGTTTCAAGAAGACTATTCATAACTAAGAAACAAAATGTTCATCCTATAAAGATGAGAACATTTACTGAGCAACATCATTTTTAATTTTTTCAATATCATGAATATGAAAAAAGTCCTTATTGTTTAAAAATGTACTATTTCAAATTTGAATAACTTTTTTTTGTACAACACAGTGTATATACCCAGWTTAGTGTTATATGTTTGTAAGATGGACACAACACATATGGATGTGGTTTCCTCTTAATGAGAAATAATAATGAATTACTTGTTGTATAATATATGTATATATATTAATATACTAACTTGTTGCATACACTTAACATCAAATTTTTGGCTCTCTAAATTAGAATAAAATTCATCTACAGCTTCATTAAAACTTTCATAAATTTTTGAAGGTAAATTCTGATGCTGAGCAAACAAAAAAGGATGATACTCTTGATTGGTACACAATTCTTTCATAATACCATTGGGTAACAACTGTTGATCAATTTTTTGAATTATAAAACCCTAAAACATAATTTGTTACAGCTATTAATAAAATAAAATTTCATACAGTAGGGTCTCGATAATCCAAAGACATGCTAATCCCAATGGGCTTAAGAATTATCTTATCGCCATAATATGTACTATGTATTTATAAATAATATTTTCCTGTAATCAAATTTTTCAATTATGCGAGACAAGGCACATTAATCCATAATGGGGACCATGGTACAAAAAAAAAGTAAATCAATATTTTAAATAGTAAAGTTCATAATTATATTAATATTTTTATATATTCACTGTCTTTGGAAATTACATGTTTTTACACAATTAATACAAATAAAAATAAAACTTCATATTTTAAATTACAATAAAATTGATGTGTTTCTTTAAGTTATAGGTAATCCGAACAAATCGCTAATCTGAACGACCCCTTTCTTTAATCTTGTTCGGATTATTGAGACCCTGCTGTAGTTACATTACATACATTGAAGTGTACTAACATATTTTATTATTGTTTTTTTTTCTCGAGTCATATAATTAAATTTAAAACAAACTTGTWATTTAAAAAAACAAAATTATTATTGTAAATCTGTATTTTTTGCAGATCATTGAAACATCATATTATGCTAATTTCATAAAAAGAAGATTGCAATAAATTGCATTATGAATCAAAAAGTAAATAACAATAATTCATAGTATCATGATATATAATTTATATCTTAAAATTATGATATATTATTAACTTGTATTATTTGAAACAGAGGGGCCATTTCAGTTTTTTTAATAGGGGTGTCAACAATTAAGCAGGCCAACTTTTTTCGTCAGGCCAC